TTCCTGCTGGATCTGTAATCATAAGCAGCTTTAGTGGTGATGAGAGAAAAAAAAACCAAGGACAGAGTATTTTTGAGGTTTGAGGAAAATTTACTTTTCTCTAGAGAGACCACAGTAAGAAGATTATAAAAGAAAGAACAAATAAAAATGGATCTTGTGGTCTCGTGTTACTGTTTTGTCGGCTGGCTTTTAACAAATACGTGACCTGAGGTTTTATAAATCTCTGGGTAGCAGAGATCATACTGAACAGGCTGAGAATGAGAAGAGAAGAGAGGCTGAGGAGTGCAGCCATACACTTCCGTTGACATCGTCCTTCCAAAGATGGCAAACATTCACTAGTGCTTTCATTACATACTGATAAAACTGAAGCTGCAGTTAACAAAGAGCTTATCCTGAGTGTTTAGCTCACATTCATCTCTGCTGTGGCCCTGCTGTCTGTGCTTTGTCTGTCCTCCTCCTGACAATTGATTCTGGCTATGTAGTCGTTTCCTGCCGTCACTGGACCAAGCATCAGACTGTGACTCCTGTAGCAGGCCCAGCTCCTCCACTGTGTGGCACTCCAACATCCCCATGGCATAGTCAGGAAGACCTGGAGCTTTGTCTGTGTCCCAGCGGGGGGTATAGCGGGGCACCTGGGCATCCGACTGAGGGAGCTGCTTGCAGCCACTCTGGTGGCTATAACCCCCCGTCTGCTAGGGCCATTGGAGGAGACAGAGTCTTTGTTCTGGGCATACTGGATGATGCGGTTCAGTTTCTGGCTGAGGGCCAGCTTCAGGCCCTCGTAGGCACTTCGGGAGCCCTTGGATTGTGACAGCTTCTGGTTGGCAATGAGATGACATTTCTCAAAGCAGTCTCTGTGGCCGCGCAGGGATTTTGAATGTAACAAAGTAGCAGTGGAGACACCTGCATTCACAGATAAAAAGCAGTGAGTCAAATACAACTTAAGGCAACATGCTCACACACAAAATGTCTCAGTTATGAGTGAAACAAATTCAGTAAACTCAAAGAGCCAGGGCTCTGAATCCATAAAGCGGTGATCTCATCTGTGAGAGACAGAGTACTGACTCACAAATACAAGTAAACTAGGGTGAAAGCAAGCTAAAACTATCAGGCTAGTCTATCGCAGTCTCTCAGTGACTGCTGCTTAGTGTGCAGTGGTTTAGCCAGTAGAGCACTGAGATAGCTAGGATAACAAATCAATCATCAGTACAAACACAGCATCAAAATGGAAACTGAAAAAAAAATTCTGTATGTGGGCTGATGATTACATGATTAAGACAACATTACTTTTGAAGTACAGGTTTGTTTAAGAAAGAAAAGTCATGGGTTTCTTCCTGGGTCAAGTCAAAACAGGTCACCAATTTAGCATACGCAGAGGAAAGTAAAGTAAGCTCTGAGTGAAATGGGCCATACTTTGGTAAACAAAGGGAAGCTGAAGGTGAAAGAGAACTAGAATGAAAAGTGTGTGTGTGCAAAAGACAGCAGATGAGCCTGAAGGGAGCATGTGCTGCACAGACACTTGTGTGACAGCCGTTTTCTCACAGCCTACATTTCTCAGCACACAGACAAATTGTACATGAGGTGAGGAGATTAGTCACTGTTGTGCACATAGATGTAAGAATTTACTTAGGAGGTAAACCTACCTATGTCTCTGTCAGAGCTTTACCAGCACACAGGAAACCACAGGTAATCACAAAGACCACATATACAATAGTTAACACACACACATCTTGTGTTTAGTGTGCTCTGCAAGGCCTTTTGAAAGTGGTACATATACAAGGCAAAAATGTTGGGGTTTTATTTCAGGAGTTGTAACAGCTGATTCCAGCAGTCATTCACTGACAGGTACTAAACAATACACAAAGTGCAGTGACAGTGAGTCCATGATGAAACGTGTTTAGAGAACCGGTGTTATGTTTAACTTCAGACTGACTTCAGGACAAAAAATGAATAAAGTTGCTTGGACTTTAGAGAAGCCTCTAAAGACCTCTCAGAGGACGTCATGAGAGCCAGTCACACCAGATGTCCTAAGAATATGGCTGAGCTGAAGCAGATCTGTGAGGAGGTCCAAAATTCCTTCTGAACTAATCTACATTGCTGGCTTGAGGTTATTGCTGCCAAAGGTGGTTCAAACAGTTATTAAAACACTGTTGCCATTACTTTTTCCACCATCACGCTGTACATTTAATGGGTGTGTTCAATTAGAGACATGAAAGATCATGACTGTGTTTTATCAGCATAGAAATATTGTGTTTATTGGCATTTGTGACTTTAGTGAAGATCAGATCACATTTCATGACCAATTTATGCAGAAAATGTCAAACAGTGCCATTACTTTTTCTTGTGACTGTAATGTATGTGTTTATTTCTTCTGATCAAGTAAATATGTTGTTGTTGTTGTTCTTCCAGCTGCTTCCCATCATTTGGGGTCACCACAGCAGATCTCAACAATCCGTATATGTGATTTGGCACTGGTTTTACAGCTGATGCCTGGCACACAGAGAGCACTAGCATGTGCAACCCCAATGGCTGAGTGTAGCCACTGCACCTGGTGGTCCCTGGTTTTCTCCCATCCAAGTACCTGATTAGCAGCTGAGTTCAGAAGAGATTGGGCACAACCAGGGAGGCGTGGCTACCTGATCAAGTTCTACAATTTTAAAATATAATGTGCCTTACAATCCTTTCAGGCAAATCTATGATTTAGAACATTTAAACAAAATTGTGTTCTCTTGACAAAAAATTAAAAGAAAAAGCCAGTTTGTTCAGAGTTATGGTTAATCTCCTTGTAGTATTTCTGTCCTTTGTCATTTTCCATACATGTTGAGAACTTGTTTTATGCCTGCAGGATCAAGTAAACATCCCATAACTAATGTAGAACAGTCAGTAATAATGGATCTTATATGTCTTAGTACATAGGAAAGTTTTATACCATTACAAATCTGTTCTTAGCTTCTGTATATTTGTGTTCTGACCTCAAGTGTCTAGAAAGAGCAACCTTAACATAGGATATGTTTTGTGAGGGAACCAATCTATGTGAGGTGTGTGTGAGAGAATACTAATTACTGAACTGCCAATAGATCTCCAGATACTTTACTATTAGTTGCTGGAGCTTTCTGGCTATCAAACAGCTGTTATAATGTGATCAGACTCTGGACTACCACAGAAACAGTGACTACCACTTGCATTACAGCAAAATCATTGGCCCAGAACCAGAGCAGTCACCACCGCTCAAGACCTCACTCCAGCTAAGCAGCTTAGCACTACTGTCATTCATGGCTGCACACGTACGTGCAGACAGACTATTCACTGTTCGGCTGTGACAGCTAGAGGCATTAAACACAGCAACACTAATGACAGCTGATGAGGTTGTTTTTCTCCTGCTCTGCTGTCTGAGAGGAGTCATGGTTGGTCTGTCTCACAGTGAAATAATTAACAAAGACAAAGCACAGACACATGCTTAGGCCTGAAAGAGAAAGGTAAAAACATAAACGCCTGAGTTCTTCATAGTTTAGAGCAGTTAATACTGAGAGCAAATATACTATACTGTAGAACTGTATACCACTAGACTCACAGGAGCCAGACTCAGTCAATTCAGAAATCAGGTGGAACAGGTCCATTACAACAAAAAATAATACTCCTGATATGAATAAACTATGAAAGGTCAGAAAACTTAGAAAGGTCAGAAATCTAACCTGGATAATCTCTGACAAGGTTTGACACAAATGAATTAAAGGTGTGCTTCAGATGAACTGAAAACCTTTACAAGGCCTATGACATTCAATAAAATGTAAAGACTAGCTGCCATTACACAGTAACAAGGGAACTTGGAGAAAGGGTGTTTCCAGTTAGGCTGGAAAATTGGTGATACTAAAGTAAACCTGGTAACCTTCACAAAAAGCCATAATCATTCTTGGGCAGTATAGATAACACCCCTTTGTGCTCACCTTTTAGTGACCACAGCATGGCCCAAATATAACTTAGAGTTCTACCTTGCATACTTGGTCTTGTGGCTGCCGTCGCGGAAGGAGAACTCTGCCAAAAGTTTTAATACTCAGGCCATTGTGCATGTTTGCAAAACACAATACTGGCACTGTTCTGTTTTATATTCAAGAAAAGTGAACAAAGTAACACATTCCTGTCTGGTGTGGAGCGACCCTCTGCAGATTTCTGGTTCTGCTCTGAACTGAATGTGCGTGTGTGCTAGGCGAGGACACACAAGAGACGACAAGAGAGGATCTGCAGAGATTGTGCTGGGGACCAGTGGTCATTATTGGCGACGTGTCGAACAGTGCTGCATGGCACAGCCTAGAAGAACATGTTTGCGGGCGTTCAGCTTATTCGATAACAAATAAAGACTCTGAGGTTTTACAATTTGGACACAACACAGAGCTCAAATGAACAATGAACTCAAAAACATGCCAACTGCACTTACAGACCAGCTGCCATTACACAGTTGTTAGAAACCACATTTATCAGACTGAAACAGAACAACAGCTATACCATCTGCTTCAGCCTGGAAGACACCTGCAGATTACTGAAACCTACACACATACACACCACATACCTACTGTATCAACTTGTTTCCAGTAACATGGAGATTTCAGCAGCACATGTTGAAAGACATAACTAACTACACAATGAACAACATATACAGTAGACTGCTATAAAAACAAACAAAACATAAATGACCGTAACTAAAACCTATCCTGTAAATAATTTAAGGCTACCGTATGTAACTTTTTGTTGCAAAAATCTGCTCCAAAACCTGTCTTAATGCAGAGAGGTCCTGTTGAAGCCTCCTGTGACCCAGACTCATTGAACAGCACTGGTAGCAGTGCAGAGATGTCAGCTTCTAAAAGACTTTGAGCAGGATTGACCTTTCTAAACAATCAGATTTTCAATGATTTTTGTTACATTCTCATTTCTAATGACAAATATTTGATAAACTGAGCAGAATGGATTGATTTGGAGTTTCATGCTAGCACTACCTTAAGTTACATATTGTAGCTAAGTCAAACCACCAAAACCATGAAGACATCACTGTCTGCAAACATTCACCAGAAACAAGAATATGGTTAAAAGGTAATAAGAATAGCAATAAGAAGAAGAGGAAGAAAAAAAGAAGAAGTAGTGAGATTACTGCAGTGTTATTAACATAACTAAGTCTATCCTGCCCCTTATCCTCCTCTGGCGTTTCTTATAGGGCACATACTGTACCATGTAACCTATGGTAAACTGGTAATTTAATAGGGATATGGGGCTTTCCTCGGTGTAGCTGCTCTCCGGAATTACCATCCTGCAAGTAACTCTCTTTATAAAAGGTAGCTGCTGACATTACCCAGATATCACATTCAGTAGTTTAGACTATAAAGAAGTTTGAGCTTCACAACCCTCTTGATGGAGAGAAAAAAACAACTTTTAGATACATTGAAAAATAAAGAAACCCATTGAGAGAATTTATTTATTTATTTGCAGGGCTAATAAAGACAATAAACTTCTTCTAAACAATGACAGATTCACATAGAAAGCAGCCCAGGATACATAAATAGTTTTGGTACTAAATTAGAGGGACTCAGCAAATTTGAGGCAGATTCAGTTGGTACAAATGTTCCTTCATTAACAAATATTCCTTCAGTAACACAAATCGTCAGGGATTGTATAAAAATTGTACAAATTCTGCTCAGACGGTACCCAAAGAGGTTGGAGAAAGTTAGGGAGGACAGACCAAGTATTAGAGAACATTTCATAAAGGGAAACTTTTGCACCGACAATGATTTTCTTTATTTTACTATAACTTTCTTTTTATACACTCCCTGACCATTTCTGTTACTTCTGTTGATGAAAGAATAGTTGTACTAGATGGCCATGCATTAAATATTATGTTGATGAAAAAAAAAAGAAAGAATTATTTTACTTTTCTCCATTTCAAAGTAAAGGGGTGCAAACTTCTACACCCAACTGTAACGCTAGCTAGCAGCTGTCAGCAGATAACAAAAACACTGCATCTGAACCAATTTCTGTCCTGTGTGTGCTCAGATTCAACACCAAAGTGGACATTTGGACATAGCTGAAGTATCCACTACTGTATGGCACAGAATTTAGTTTATTAAAATTAACATATAGATAGATGTATTGTATATCTCTATGATGAACAATGTTGCATATACCCAACATTCAACACGGTATGCGGACAACTTCATTCTCTACAAGTAGCTGTCACGTGACACGGACGTATGGTGTCTAGTTAGCAAGTTTCATTTTTTTGACAGGTTCTTTATTAGATAAATTAGCCTTACATCATTTACAGGAGTTCTGCCATTACTGTAATTTGGTCTTCAAACACAGGCAGTGGTGCGGCCTGGACATCGACTCACTCAGGCATTTATGATAAACAGCGCACATTGCACAGATTTTTTTCATGAAGGTAATTTTGAAAAATACCGTTGCTATTATTAAATACCCTGGGATACTGAAATACCATATTATTGCCCAACTCTAGTGGAGAGTTCACCAACCATGAATGGGCTGTTTACAGGAGCAGGCTACAACAGCTCCTGTAGAGCAACAACCAGAATCAGCACTGAGTGCATCATTCTAGCCTGTCGCTGTAGGAATGGTTTTCACTCCAAACCCAGCGGGTAATATTACGAGGCCTCAGCAAAAAATCTGTCTGCATAATGTAAGCAACTACACAAAAAGTGCTTAGCAGACGCTTTGTCTGACAAGAAACAATAGATGACTAAAACAGTTTGAGAGGCTGGCAGTTACAAAAGTTAAATAGGTAGTTTCAGATTTCCCAGGTGTTTACAAAGCACAGCTGGTCACATCCAGTAAGGCCAGGTCATTAGCAACAGCCCTGCCTGGTCTAAAGTATGCTGCACTAAGCAATCAGATGCAAACAGTAAAGTCTGATGAGCATGTGATACTGTTATTGATAGTAAATTAATTTGGCTGAATACTTAGAGGAGAGAGAGAAAGCTAAATTTTAACTGCTCCCACTAGCTTACTGAATGTTTCTGTTAACATAACTTTACTGGTGTTTTGACTGACAGGAGAATCAATAGATATTGGCAAAATATAGTAAAGTATAGTACAGTATAGATGACTGCGAGCCAACTACCTTCTCTCATTGAAAGATATGACTGAATGTCATCTTTTTACTAATGCTGTGTTGATTAATGTGCACTATCCCATGCAAAGAAAAAAGAAAGAACAAACAAGTAAACATATCTGACTTCTTATGCTGTGCACATTCGGATTACAGGATTTTCTTTAGGTTATGCAGTTTCTAGACTACTACTGTGTGAGCCTCAGCAGGATGGGAGGTGAAGCTCTCTTGGTTTGCATACAGAACCACAGTCTGATCATCTTTGGTACCAGTGGTCTGGGTTTAGGGCAACAAATCATTTAGCTTTAAACAGTGTCATCACCTCCCAAGAAAATAAACAGGAACTGCAGACTGGCTGATCTGGCTCTAGGTGTGGGAATGCAGTAGCTTGCTACTGTGTTGACACTCGAGGCTGTACACCCATGTGCAGTACTCAAATGGAGCAATATTAAAAAAACTAGAAAGGAAAGATCTTAAAGCGAGAACAACCCAGTTAGGTGGAGGCTGAGCAACATATAAATAAGACAATTTTCTGTTCAGTATGTTCTGATGGAACCAGCACAAACAGGCTAAGGCAGTTTCCTCAGGAAACAACCACTTGGAGCTAGAGCAAACACTGCACTTCCTGAACATTTATGCTGCTTTGAACTGTGCTCAGTGCTCAGTTCATGCAAACCTCAGAGCAGAACTTGGGAAGGTCATGGGTGGAAATGAATACTTAAGTATAAGCAGTTACCCACAACAGGGAACTGCTCTATGCTACAACAAAGCCGCAGGGACCAGTTAGGGCTTAGTGTCACTGCACCAACAATAATGTGTTCAAATTGATTTTAAAATAAAACTGTAGAGACTTTAGAGGGACACTGTTGTTTTGACCTGAGTTTAGTTTACTCACCATTAGGCAGTATTAATCAGTTTGTTAAAAATGTAAGGCAAAGCCCAAGCTTGAGATTTAAAAGCCCGAGTTATAAACAGAGTGTGGAGTTTAAAAGAAGGCATTTAGGTGTTGAGGTGGTCTAATGAAAAATGCTATCAAGCTCCATCATGGTTACAAATGTAGAATCCAAAGTTTTTGGAGCTTATCCCATACTAAAGATTAAAAACATGATATTTCAGCAACTGCTGCTCCCATTTTACCATTTTTTAAGCTCTCTCTGGTAAGGCCCACAGCATCAAAAGTATCTTTTAATGATAAGGCAGGCACAGCCACACGTGAATATTGAGTGTGTGTGAGTTTAATGTCCAAAACAGCAACTCAATAAAGCATGCTGGATGGATCAGCCTTCCTCACAATGAGGAAAATCAAATATGCCCTGTTTAGATCAAGAAATCATGTTAAATTACTTTTCTTTTTATATGCAACCTTATAATACAGACATTTTGTTGCATCATGTAGCGGCTCATTGAAGAAATAGGGCATTGCAACTAATCTTTGTGGTGATGACAATTTCCTAAATAACTCAGTTGGTATATAAAGTAGCAAATGCAGACAGCCTTTATGTATGAAGCCAATGTGATATGTACATCCATGATATATCCTGGTTTAAAAAACAAAAAAACAGAAGCGATTCTGCTACTAATGCTTCTTGCAAGAAGGCAAAGAAGATTCTGCTGCAGCAGTTCACCCTTGACATAAACGTGATATAGACAGAAAATCACTAGGACAGTATGTTAGGGTGCACAACAGGAGACAAAGACCATTCCCTCCACATCACATTTGTATACATTCTGTCTACATGTGTGGTTACTGGACTGTTCTCATTTTATGAAGGATGGCAGAGGATGAATGAGTAGTGCGGCCATTAAGTCTACATGAGCAGTCAGCAGGCACACGGCCTTAGTTTCCTATAAGCTGTACCTAAAGTAGCCATATGCAGCTTAGGAAGCTTCCCTTCCATTAATGATAATGCTCAGCTGCATCAGAAACATGTGCCTGTCTGCAACAGTCTGCAAACCCACCACCTTCACATATACAGTAGCCCTTCTTGCCCCAGGCCTAACACTTACATAACAATCACACACAGATTACACCAAAACCCACAGCACACACTGCTATTGATGCAGTCTTGTCTGACACAACCACTACCATGGGTACCTTTTGCCTAAACAATAAAAAGCTTTGGGAATAGACTTACTCAACGGCACAACCAACTATTTTTTCCTAATCTAACATACGCATTTCCTGAATCACTAAACAGAGCAAGCATGGACACGCCACTTGAACCAAAGCAACCCTTGCTTTTCTAGAATGTCAAAATATGAGTTAAAGCAGGGTCATCCTTTTTTTCCCCCACACATTCAGGGTCCCATACGTTTGAACAGGATTATAGTGATCACAGCATCTACTGTAGCAGCTAAGGGAGCAACGTGGAAGCAAAATAAAGCAAGTACTCATATACATGCTTCTTATTAAATAAAGCAAGCATTTTATTTTTAATAAGTAGAAAGTCTTACAATACCAATTATATTTAGGCTTCTGATATTCCTTTATTTATCTCCCAGCAAACCCAGGAAGCATCCTTATACCATAATTAGGTTATTCTTCTGCTCAATGAAAACTGATGAGCTTGCAAGCACTTACAGTGCCAACTAATAATGCTTGTATGAGACTGACTGAAAACTCTTATTAGAGTCCACAAAGAGCATGGTGACTAATCAGCACTCACACACCCAGTTTGCTTTCACCATAACAGAATACTGTGCAGAGATAAACACACACCCTCCACTGCAGAAAAGAGCCTGTATGGATCTAGGAGAGGAGGCTTATCTAACCCCTTCTGATTCTTCTTCAAATAAGCCACTCATTAATTAAGCGATGAAAAACTTCAAACATGTGCTCTTGAGTTAGAGTGGCACATCAGACAAGAGAATCACAGCAGTGTGCTTTAGAGAGCTTTGGTCATACAGGCCCATCACCCTGCACGTACATCTTCCACACTGTTCCTGATGAGGATAAAAGAAGTGTTTATGAAAGGAAACTGAATGTGGCATCAGTAAATTCAAATGGTTCTCAGGCTGCACAGGTCCTGGTGCATTTGTCCTGTGATGGACCTGATGATCAAAAACACTGGATGTTTCTGCAAAAGTGAGTTACTGTGTGATCCAAATACTGCAGACTCTTGGCACCTAAGACCAGTGCTGATCTATCTACACAGGACTGCCTCTGTATGGAATTAACCAGTGAACCTGCTGGAGATCCATTTTAATTCTGAATCCAATCGAACACACATCAGAGAATGTGTGTGTATGCTCAAGAGCTACAAAAAACAAAAACATGGAGAGCTAATACTTGTTACAAAGAGTGAAGAGCTCACTTTTTCCCTCCACATCACTTTGTTTTCTCTTTACTCTGGTAATCAAAGAAGGAAACTTCACCCCCAACCATGTTTCTTACCTTCAATGCTGAGCTCAAAGCAGACGTGGCAGAAAGATAAGGTCCCTGTTTCCGTCTCGAGCTTGCAGACACTGCAGATATTGTCATCATTCAGATCAATGTTTACAAACTGCTCCTCTTCATCCATAGTGCTTCTGGGGAAAAACACAAGTGAAGAGGAGCAAATGGCTAAATACCAGCAGCTGGCACAAGCTCTAATCTCTTTTTTTTGCCAATTATTCAAACACACACATTCAAATAAACTTAATAAACCGGCTGGAAGTGACAGGAGAATATTTCTAGTTCATACTACTAATGGTACAGAATACAATAAAAGAGGCAGTGTCCTTTTTAAGATGTTGTTCAGCAATGTTATGAATAAATTACCACATAAGATCATAAAATGGTACAGCTACCTTTAGATTGAACAGCACAGTCTCTATCTAATCTCTATGCTGCTATTGGCTCCACTAGTGTTAAACACAATCTAATATCATTCCTGCAGAGAAACAACAACAATCCAAACATTAGCTGTCATAAAACTGCAACTGTTGTGTGAATCTGTGTAGTGTGTACACAATCAAATGCCCCAGTCTTGCTCCTGTGGAAGTAAATTCAAGTGCAAACATTTACACTGACAAATACTCAAAACTAGCTCTGGAAATCATTTGTTTGTCTGAATAACAAGCAGATTAAAATGCATAGGCTGAACTGTCAAGAGAGCAGAACAGAGTACAGCTGCACAAAACGGTGAAAATGTGGCAACATCATGTTGAGACAATTTCTCTCCAACTCATTTAAGAAACGCTAATCTGAAAATGCAACACTGCACTGTTTATTGCATCTACAAGGGATTCTAGTATAAAGTTTCTCTACCCAAGTCTTTTAAGTAAAACTAGATTGTAAAAACAAAACATACTGGCACATTGTCTCATGACATATCACAGATACTAATGTAAAGGATGCTGCAGGTCAGAAGGTCAGAAGCACGGGTTAGGACAGACCCGAGTCACACGGAGAGCTCTGCTTCCCCGTCAGAGGCAGCACAGACAAACCACAATACCTGAAAGAGTTCCTTGATTGTACTTTACATCGTCCTTATTTACGAACTTTCAGAGCACCAAGCCTACAAAATAAAGTTAAGACACTAACTTATAACACTGCCCAGTATTAAACTAACGTTGAAGACACACAACGGAGATTTAGAAGAACAGCCAGTTAGCAGAACAGCGGGCGAAAGCTCCATTTGAACTTTTCACCCGGTTGGATTTACATATACAGTTAACCTTAATCATTTCTTAAATTTCTCCTTGTTCGCTGTTTAAATGCCTTAATGCCTGTTGAACGCTATTTCGGCTCGAAGCAGTTTGCAGTAACCCGAGTGCCTTTGTACATACAGTTAAAGGAAAGCATGCTAACAAGAAGTTAAGCTAACGACACACTGACACCCTCCCTAGTACTCTGGTCAGGCTGATTCGTGACCGTTATTTGATGCTGTGTAACGGCGAGGCATCCGACACAATATGAGCGTCACCAACATTTTAGGACATCACCTTAGTGAAACTCACCTTTATGGTAAATATTATATTCGCACACCTCAGTTCTCCTTCGTCACAGTGGGCACACAAACATTAGACAACAGTGCGCGTCACGGCAAATTCGGAAAAGCTACAGGAACCTCGCTCCTCTCTCAGTGGAATGACCCAATAGTTTATGTAAGGGGTGATCATAATAATCTAGTTTAATTAATGACCAATCTGCTCCCAACAAAAGATAAACAACAGATATTTATTATTTATATACAAATACAAATGCTCCAACTTTCATGGAAATACATTTATGTCATTACACAAGCCACCTCTGACATTAGTAGCTGTGGATACACCCCTATGATAAAATCAAGATAAGTCTTCCTGGCGTCAAGAAAATATTTCCATATCGAAAATATTTCCATAGAGAAAAGAGTTTTCCATTAAATAAAACGAAAAAGAAAAGAGTTTGGGGTCTAGACTACAGCGACAGTGAGGCTATTTATCTTAGCTGTAGCCCAACAGGATGTATGCATTTATTCAAGACGACTCAGACTGGGCACCTACACTTGTATGTTGCTACATGCTGTCATATAGTCCTTGCTTTTAATTGACATTTAATGTTTCAATCTAATTTGCAGTCTAATGTTTTATGTATATTCATTTTATTGTTTTATGCATTGGGTTAAGCATTCTGAATTGGCTTTGTGAATGAAAATGTGCTCTATAAATAGCCTTGCCATGATCGGTGTTAGAAACTGCAAGTGGAGTCTGGGGCTGGAACTCGTCACTGAAGATGGTGGTTGGAGCATCAGCAATTATAACTGAATAATATAAAATACATCAATGTGAAATGTGTTAATCTCCATAATTAGCACTTTTACTTTTGATATGTTAGATATTTTGATGCTAATACTTTTGTACTTTTATGTAAATACATTTTGAATGCAGGACGGCCACTTGTAACAGAGTATTTTTACACTGTGGTATTGGTACTTTTACTTGAGTAAAGAATCTGAGTACTTCATCCACCACAGTACAGATATAAGACAACCTTTGCTCTGTGTACTTCACAAATTTTCATTGGTGTCATCCAGTGAGGTCAGTGAAATAGCTGGGATGTTACACTGTGTAGCTCCCTGCCCATCTACAGAGCTTCAAATCAAATGTATTGTGTTTGGTTACTACAGCACAAAATAGTAATTCACTACAATAAAATAGCCACTGTGCACAATTGTAACCACTTTCAAATAAACCACATCAGTAAATTATGTTTCAAAAAAATTATTTATACAATTTATGCTTAGAAGTGTACTTACAAGGCAACAACATTTTGAAACAAGTTAATTTGATTAGTGTAGTAAAGCTCAGTTGCAAACGGCTCCACAGGTAAGGAAGACATGTTAACATACTGTATGTCACTTTGTAGTGATCGACACTAAAGGTTCAAGGTTTTAAATAACATCCACTGTTGTTGAAACCCTAACACTGGCTGGTTTGTTGCTGCAACTGAGCCTTTCACATTAAAACCAATCATTAATATAGCTATGTTTGAACAACTTGCAATCTTTATGTCAAAGAGAAGAGGGTGGCCATCTTACAATGTAGTACATTAATTATTACATATATACACATTTACATCACAGTATCTTCCTCATGCCATTTAGCTTTCCTCATTAAAAATATCTGATAAAGTGTAAGAAAAAAGCTAAAAATGAAAACTGTCTCATGAGAAAAAAAAATCTAAATTTTACAAACATGTTAAATTTTAATTAGTTGTAATTGGTAGAGTTTTGGTTTTCTGGTGGACAGAGATGATAGGTGGACGATGACAGTTGGCAAAGCTCAAAGAAGGTGGCTGGACAAGGTTTAGGTGCAGCAGGTTGGAACTACAGTTAACTGCCCAATCTGGAGGCTCCTTCTCCACCTGCATCCTGCTGGCTGGGGCTGCAGTGTTCTGGCAGAGGCTGCAGTTAGAGGCTGGGGCTGCAGCTGTTGGCCAGACCCTGTCAGTGGAGGTGGAGCATGCAGGGTGCTGGCAGAGGCTATAGGTGTAGGCTGGCACCATAGCTGTCAGCCAGACCCTGCAGGTGAAGTGTTCTGGCAGAGGCTGCAGTTGATTGTGGGTTGCAGCTGTCAGCCAGACTGTCAGTGGAGGTGGAGCATGCAGGGTGCTGGCAGAGGCTAGAGGTGTAGGCTGGCACCATAGCTGTCTGCTACACCCTGCTGGTGGAGGAGGATCTGCAGGGTGCTGGCAGGGTATGCAGGTAAAGGCTGGGGCTGCAGCTGTCGAGCACACCCTGCAGGTCGCTGCAGGCAAAGGCTGGGCTTGTAGC